GGACGATTAAGGAGCATGGGTAGACTGTAGCAAAGAGACAAATTTAGATTTGATCTTTGAAAAAAAAAAATCTTAATTAGAGCTATCCAAAAGCAGAATGTTCCTAGTGTGGTCTGGTTCTCTCTGGAAGTCTTCAAGCCCAATACGTGGTGAGAGGGCACTTTGATGGATGTGTTGAAAAGTTCATTCAAGTATGGATTGGAATACCTCCACAGAATTGGTGTAAATAGTGTCCACTGAAGTGGTTGCATGTATTTAAATTTGCACTCTTTGAAGTTGTAATTATGCAAAATACAGTCATTGCTTCCAGTCCAAGGGAAATATTCACTGCAAATTAGAATAATATGATCAGTCAATAAACATTTTTTAAATGCCTAGTATGTGTGAGGCACTTATGCTAAGCACTGGAGATGCAAATAAAAAAAGACAGTCCCCAGCCCTCAAGGAGCTTACTGTCTAATGGAGGAAGACAGAACAGAAAAAGAAGTTAAGAAAGGAGAGAGGGAAGCTACAGGTGAAAGGGAGAGATAAAAATGTTCTATGCCCCTTCTTTAAACAGAGGTCCTGGAAACCCTGCCCTGACTTCAGTTATAGGATCTAATTTTAGAGGAGCAGAGGGCACTGATGAAATGTACCAGGCAGGTTCCATCTTGCAATGAAATTTCCCAGTGATGAGTTTCCTAGGAAAGGAAGACATTCTGGAGAGTTCCAGGGAAGTCCAAAAGCAGTGTAGCTGTGGATTTACAATCTATACTGACTGGGACCTGGGTGTAGATGGCTTCTGAGGTCCCTAACAACTCTGAAATGACTGAGGCAAGGCTTGAAGGATTTCAAAGGGATGTGTAAAGAAAAAGAGTTGACCCCTGACAAATAGATGATGGACTTAATATGCAGAATGAGATACATTTTTGGACACAGCAAATTTGTTTTGGGCATGTTGTTACAAGGGTTTTGTAACGTTTTTGAGGAGCGGGAGTGGGAAAGTGGTAGGGAAAGGGCAAAAAATGCATGTTAACTAGGAAAAAAAAATTTTAAGGGTTGAGTATTGGGCAGATGGATATAAAAAGCCAGGAGGAAATCTACCACATTACCAAGTCTGCAATTTAAGCCAGGAGGCATAGTGCCTCTGGGAGTCAGAAAGACCTGAGTTGAAATCAGCTAGGTGGCCCCAGGCAAATAGCTTAACCTCTGTCTGCCTCAATTACCTCAACTGTAAAATGGGGATAATAATACATCTACCTCCCAAGGTTGTTGTGAGGTTCAAATGAGATAATATTTGCAAGATGCTTAGTCACAGTGCCTGATATAGATGGTAAGCACTTAATAAATACTTTCTTTACCCCTAATCCCCCTCCAATAGGTTGAATTTATTACTGCACAGGCAGCTCCTGCTGGTTTCCCATCCTTTTATCAGCCATGGACAGCAGGTGATACCTCAGAATGCGTGAATTCAACTTCCTCTCCTAAGAGGATAATTGGTAATAGTGTTGACACTAACACTTCCAATAACGTAAATAGCTACACCATACAGTCCCAAAAGCTAAGGTTGCCAAGGGCTGGATGATTGGTCAAGCAATAAACAGTCATCATTTTGTTATCAATAACCAATTAGGAAGTTTCAGTACTGGTCAGAGATGACAGCAATCATGTGCAGGGAGGTAACTCTTTGCCACTCAGTGATCTCAGCCTGTTTCTAGGAATGGCCCACTCTGTTGTTGCAAGGGCATTAAGTGTTTGCCTGCTCTAGTGTGGGTGGGATGGGGGATGCCCCATTTCTTCTGCTAAGAGTATCTCACTAAAATGAACAGAACCAGGAGAACATTGTACACAATAACAGCCACATTGTTCGATGGCATACTTTGATAGCACTGCAAGGATCTAAGACAACTCCAAGAGACTCATGATGGAAAATCCTGTCCACATCCAGAGAAAGA